TTAAATATTGTTATATAATAATCTTAAAATAATTGTTATTGGAAATACGTGGTCACATATTTTTGTTGTATTTTTCTTTCTGTTTTGATTTTTTTCTATACCAGATCTATGAATTCACGCAGATTAAATTTAACAGAAATAACTTCTAAAACTTCATAAATTCTAAAAATAATGATAAATTATCTAATTTTTATACATTTTTATAATAAGAGTACAAAAAAAAGAAAGAAAGATGTAGAAACATAACTGTATAACTTGAAATAGATATGACTTATAATATAGAGTATAAAGTATAGAGTATAGACATAACTTGAATCATTGCTCCAACCGCGTATAATAATTACTTTACAATAAATTATGTTATAGTTTGAAGATTGATGTATGTGCACGAGATTTCATTGCTCTATCGAAACTCTAACGTCATTTAACATCTAACGTTGTTTAATCGACCTTTCGCTCGGTCAAATATTACCTTGCACATAATTGCGAATACATTACAAACAAATAAAGTCTCCTACTACCTAGTCATCAACATAATTCATAAGATCGAATATCAAAAATATTCATATATAACTTAAAGTTAAAAATTTTATTGAGGATTGAAATGCTACTAAACTCATTTTAAAATAATTGAATTTAAAGTAAACATAATATCAGTTACTTACGAATAAAAGGCCGAATGTGGGTTCGCCAGTAACTACAGTTGCCATCAACATCGCAATCGCCCCAAAGATGATTATCAACTTTATGGTTTTGATACTTTCTAGTTTAAATTAAGTTATTATAAATTCACATCAAAGGTGATGTCCTGTGTTCAATATAAAAAACACATGACTTTATATACATGCATAGGGACATATGTATATATGTACATACACATATAATGTATGTATGTACGTATATCAAAAATCGTGTAACCTAACGCGATAAAATAAAGTATCGCTTTTAGGACACATATATTCGAATGTATCAAACATCGCATTGAGTTTAGTAATGCACGTAAAATATGTTTTGTATATTAAATGAAAGCTTTGAGAAATGTGTGAGAATGTGTTCGTTTACACATATCTAAATATTTATTTTTTTTTATCAAAGTCGTGTACTATAAAAAAAGAAATAATAGCACAGTTTCAACAGTTGAAAACTTTCTTAAACCCACAATTGAGATATTTGCAAAAAAACTATATTATAGTTTTTTTGCGCATTAAATATTTATTGAATAATCATTATTAATTTAAACTTTTAAAAGTTTCTTTAAGAATCACTTTTAAGATTATATAATTCGCTAATGCTTTCACAGAAAAAAAATTGTAACAGACTTACAATAATTTATAAATAGATTAAAAATAGCAATACCAGAATACTATATAAAACTTATTATTCGAGTGTATCTAACATAACGTTGAATTTAGTAATACACATAAAATGTATATTAAATAAAAGCTTTAATGAATGTGTGTGAGGATGTGTTTGCTTACACATATATCTAAATATTTGTTCAAGATTGATTTTAATACATTCACGCAGTTGTTCCTCTTGGCACATTGAAAGTTGTT